AAGCAAGCAGCATTCGGGCATTGAGTACACATAATCAAGCATATACTACTCTGGCTATCATACTGACTAATCTGTTCTAGCATGCAGTTCTCAATAAGCTGGTACACATATAACAGGCACATAAGGCATCCTCCCTAGATCCTTAGCCCTAAACTAGCATGCAGTTCTCATAAAGTTGATACACATATAATAGGCACATAAGGCATCCTTCCTAGATCCTTAGTCCTAATCTAGCATGCAGTTCTCATAAATCTGATAATCATATCATAACATGAACTTGTATGGGTAATTTGGGAGTACTTACTTGAGCTCGGCTGATTGCATGCACCACACCCTTTTCTCTTTCAAAGTTCTTTTCTTTCTAAAAATCCGTTTCGCTTTTTCTAAAACACTTTTCTTTCCTCAAAATCCTTCTTACAAAAAATTGATTTTCCTTTTGAAAATTTCTATACCAATTCCTTAGTTTGAGTTTAGACACACCCGGAAGTATGCCCGAATCCCTCAAAACAAGGCTCTGATACCAACTTGAAACATCCCAAAAACACAGTCTGAAAATTTCGTTTAATTTAATAATAAAAACCATAGTCGATAAACATCATATAAAAATCATAAGCAATGTATCTCAAAATATTATAACAAATTGTCAAGTATATCAGAGTATAAACATCCCAGGCTGAAACAAATGGTGTGTGCACTGCAATCTTCCCGAGCTCCTCTTTTGAAAACTGAGTACCTGAAACCAAAACTGAAAACTGTAAGCACGAAGCTTAGTGAGTCTCCCCAAGCTACCACATACCAACACACAAAATCACATATTGGGCCTAGCCCACTGCATCGGGCCCCGCTCGGCATCAGACTGAAGTCCGTTATAACTTGGGCCCCGCCCACTGCATCGGGCCCCGCCCGACATCGGACCGAAGTCCGGTATAACTTGGGCCCCGCCCGACATCAGACCGAAGTCCGGTATAATTTGGGCCCCGCCCACTGCATCGGACCAAAGTCCGATATCGACTGAACATAACATAATCATAAACATATAACATAATCACATATACTGCATCGGGCTTGCCCGACATCAGGCCAAAGCCCGGAACATATAGCACACAACATAAACATGCATGAATCACAAAGACATCAAGCATACATAACTACTTCTCGGGATTTCTCCGGCATTGGACCGAAGTCCAGAAAACATAGCATATAACATGTAAGCTAAACCACTGCATCGGGCCCCTCCCGACATCGGACTGAAGTCCGTAACACATAACATATAACACATAAGCTAAACCACTGCATTGGGCCCCGCCCGGTACTACTAACATCTAAACGGGCCGGCATTGTGGCCTTAGACTCGTTCCTACTGGAAGAGGACTCACCTCGCACTGCTGAAGTCCCGCGAATAAATCCCGGGCTGCTGGCTGATAGATCATCAAGCTGTCAACATCCAAATAAACCCAATTAATAATTGGATCCCAAATACATATCCATAAGTCCTTGCTTGGGTAAGAGACTACTTTACCCCTAACTTGGCTTGATTCGAGCCCAAGGCCCAATCCAAATGCCCAACAGTCTGATAATCAACTAAAGCCCAACTATGGCCCAATTTCCTAAATTGGGCCCAAATCCTTCACATGGTCTTACTTAAAAGTCCCAACCATTTATTTGGTACAAACACTTGGCCATCCAATAGTCCAATACTTCATAATCTTCAAGGCCCAGCTATGGCCTATCTATGGCCCAATTTTCCAAATTGGGCCCAAGCCTGTCCAATGGGCCTTGTCCTGTAGTCCAGTCCAATACTTTAGTCCTTATGTCGAAACAACTACCAGTGATTTTCTCTTCTTCATCCTCCCCATACCTTGCGAACATGGCTCCATGCGTTGGATTCCTCATTTCTTCGTCATCCGAGCCTGAAGACCATATTTGGTATTTTACCTCATCCTCATATTCTCCTCTCGCTACCAGTGACAATCCCTTCGACTTAGCCCTCACTTCTTCCAGCCTTTCGGAATAGTATGCCTCATCCTTAACCTTATTCTTCTTTTCTTCTTTCTTCTTCAGCATACAACCATTTGCCATGTAATTTGCACCATGACAATAATGACAATCAACTCCTGAATCACCCTTTAGCTTTTTCTCTTGTTTCGAATCTTCACCTTTAACCTCTTTCTTCTCAAACTTCTTCTCATCACTAACCTTCCCAGTGTTACTTCCCTTCATTTCACCAACTTTCGACTTTGCATTGAATGGCTTCTTATAAAACTTCTTTACTCTGTTGTTGGAGTAAAAAGCCACCGCTTCGTCATCAGAGTTGACGATAAGACCTTCGTCTTCAGAACTTTCCTTCTCAGTAGCTTCCATCTCACATAATCTTCCGGATACCTTCGAAACCAATGCTAATGGAACATCCAGATTGATCTTTGACTCTTCAGCTATTGCATTCACTTCAGTTTCGTGAGCTTTTAGCAGGTTGTAAAGATCATTAAGAGTCAAAAAATCGAAGGTTTGTTGTGTCTTCATCATCAAACTCACATTCCTCCACTCCTTGCGAAGTCCCATAATGAAAGTAAGGTTGTATTCCATAGCAGACCTGGTAATTCCATACCTATTACACTTATAGATGAGCTCATTCAGATGGTCATAGTATACTTCAATCGTTTCTCCATCTTTTTGCTTGAACTCTCTTAATCCAATCAGACATTTTGACTGAACTGATTTTTGGTCTTCTCACTACCCTGGTACTTTTCTTTCAACGTATTCCAGATTTTTTTTTGAGGTTTTGCAGGTTCTAACGTAATTATACACAACAAGAGGAAGAGCACCACGAAGCTCTCTCATGCACCTCTTCTCGTTCTTCTAGAAGCCTTGCAGTTTGATCAGTAACACTTTGAGTTGATGTAGAAGTACCAATGCTTTGAACAGAAGGAGGAGGAAGAACATCATTAGTAATGCACTTCCAAAGCTCTTCATCGATTCCGTTCAAGTAATCCTCCATACGATCCACCCATTGATCGTAATACTCCGGAATAAGCATAAGAATCTTAGTTGAAGATCCTAGCAGATGAGAGAAAGAAGTCATGGTATTCATATTGAAGTTCGCCATGGATGTACGGACAAAATCAGAGAAAAGCTTGAAAAATTTGAGATTAAAAAGATGAATCAAACAACAAATGAACACCGAACACTCGATTAGTCAATCAAAATCCAGAATCGAATCTGAACTGAAGATCTACAAAAGATTTTCAGTATCAAAAGTGCGGAAAATTTTGAATCTAGAACGAGATTCAAAAAGCTTTTGAAACAGAAGAAAATCAGATCAAAACAGTTTGATTCCTGCTCTGATACCAAATGTAGTTCCGACTGAATCGAGTAATCAAACAAAATCAGAGTATGAAATGATTTAGAACAAGAGATCTAAATATAATCTGTTTGGCACATTGTATTGCTTGATCAGTTGAATACAAGAGGAAAGAGAAATGATTACAATCAGGGAAAAGTTCTTAACCTCTAAAAGTATCCTTCCCATATTTATAGGGAAAACTGAAAGCACAAATAATATAAGGACATTTGACATCTAAGCTTCGACACTAAAGTAGTCCTTAAAATAAAATACAATCCAATATTCGATATTACAAATAACAAAGACAATTTCAACATCTCACAACCTTTGAACCCCAACACTTTTGAATTGTATCCAACTATCTTCTTACACATGATTTATGTTGCTGCGAAAGTGGTTGAAGACTTTTCGAATGATATTGATTTTCAATGGCGGTGGAGGAGCTTTAATTCAATCAAACTTTGGCTATTAACTGAAAATATATAATGAAGGGCAAAACAATCATTTGAGCAAATTTAATAGAGTAGATTAACATATATTATTTTTAGGGACCAAATCCACAACTTAAACGTCAAAAAAAGAACCATTTTTACAAATAAACCATTTTTTGGAACTTACTAAAAAAAATTTGAAAACCATAAGGACTATTTCTACAATTTTGTCTATTTTCTATTAACTTATTACCAAAAAAATGTTGCCATGTTCTACCCTACATGACGGAGAATAGTGTTGTCATATTGTCGAAATAATGGCAGCTTTTACACATGACAAAATAGGTAACCATTTTACATTAATATTATATCAAACCACTGTTAGTTTTGTAATTATTTGGTTCATTGTCCTTTTTATATAATATAAACTATTAAACTTGTGATTTTAATGTTAAATATTAAATATGTCATTTAAATAGTTAAAAACCGGTTATAATCCATACATAATGTCTCGATATATCAAATTAATTAAAAAAATCCCACATGTATTTATGTATGTTGAATACTAATAAACATGCATATTATTCTAATTTCAAAAACCTTTGTATAGGGATCCCATGGATTTAGAAATGACTTTGCAAGAGTGCTAAATTTTAAGGTATTTCGTAAAAATAAAAAAAAACATGGTAATCATTCGTACATAACAATTTTTTTTTTCTGTACACAATAATTTATGTTTTGTAGAATTTTACAATACAATATTTTAAATTATGGGTTTAACATGTTAAAATATTACCGGTATGATTTACATTTATCTTAATAATAAGATAAATATCATTTTATGGGTTTAACATGTTAAATTATGCTTTGTAGATTAAAAAAAACATAAACAAACTTTTAGTTATTACTTTATTATTGGGATACATAAATAAAAGTAGGTGTGCATTATTTAATATTTCTTATTAAAAAAACCATTTTTTTAAGTAAAAGAGCAGAAAAAAATACAATAATAATTAATAAATGAGCGAATCCGATTGTAATTTTGGTAGTTATCAATCTTATATATAAATATATATATATATATATATATATATATATAAATAAATGAATATATAATGATAACATAACAGTGCCTCCTCCGTATTACCGTGCACCCCTGCTCAAGCCACACAGGTCACAACACCCTCTCTCTCTCTCTCTCTCTCTCTCTCTCTCTCTCTCTCTCTCCACACATACAACGATATCAATATATACGCACACAACTAAATCTCATCGAAATTCCCTGCGTCCATTTGCTTCTTTCTCGCTCTCTAATAAATTCTTAGAGATCCTTCCAACAAATCATTTCTTCAGGTACACATCAATAATCTCGAATAATTCAGATTGAAATCTCACATCAATTAAACGATCTAATCTAACCAAATTTAATATTTCCTTTCTTCTATCAATTTTTCTGGATCAGATTGTTTTTAATTCTGTGAAGAAGTTTTGTATTTAATCGGAGACTGGATTCGGTAAATGGAGAATTTGAGGAAGGAATGTGCGTGAGGTTAAGGAAAACGATGCCGGAATTAGCGTGTGATTGCCAATTTAGTGGCGGCGATGGCGATACGACGACGTCTTACTCGTTGTCGTCAAATGGATCAGTTTCGTCGAGTGGATTCTGGTCTAAGCATCGGAATGATGTTAGTTGCAATCAACTCCAGAAGGTTCTTAATTTTGATTTAATTTTGTTATTTTAGGTGTAAATTTGTTTGTTCATATATGTATCATTTTAACAAATTATTTGGCATTTCCTTAGAACAACTTAGAGCTTAAGTTTGGACCTTATTGATATTGTCACTTGGTTATTATGATTTCCGTGTTTACTTAGATTCATAGTCTTGACTCTTGAGAATGATTCTCATGGTTAATTGGATAGTTTGAACATGTAACTAGTGTAAACAACTCTTTTGTCAAGGAAGGGCATTGAGAATGTATATGAGTATTAGTGGTGGAGGCAGTTAAAATGGCTGTTGTGACATGTGCTGCTAAACATCAAAACTGCAAAATATGTCAGACTTGACATGATTTTGTTCTGTCTGATAAAGCAAGCTTGAGGCTCAACATTTTCTTTGATCAAAAGTATTTTGACATAGTTCAAGATTACATACATGATACATTTAAACAACTCAGTCATAGTTATAACTTATAATGCAGTATATTACCTGTAAAGTTCATTATTTTGGAACTTGTTAGTGATCAGGTTTCTCATTTCTGTATCTATTGTAGTTTTGGAATGGGTTGTCACCACAAGCTAGGCAAAAGCTTCTGAGAGTTGATAAGCAGACTCTATTTGAACAAGCTAGAAAAAACATCTATTGCTCCAGATGCAACGGGCTACTGCTGGAAGGTTTTTTACAGATTGTCATGTATGGGAAGTCTTTACAGCAGGATGCAATAGTTAATGGATGCAGAACCTCAAACAATAGAAACAATGAAGATGATTGTGATGATGACATTCAAGATCCAGCTGTCCACCCTTGGGGAGGTTTAACTACAACTCGTGATGGGACACTTACCCTCTTGGATTGCTATTTACATTCAAAATCTCTCAAGGGGTTACAAAATGTACTTAATTCTACAATTATCTAATTGTTATGTTACTTCTTTTTTGTGGAAGCCTAATCTCTTGTATTGTATTTCACATTTGACTCAATCAGGTGTTTGGTAGTGCAAGAGCAAGGGAAAGGGAGCGTGAATTACTCTATCCTGATGCATGTGGTGGTGGAGGTCGAGGGTGGATCAGCCAAGGAACGGTGGGGTATGGGAGAGGTCATGGGACCCGCGAAACATGTGCCTTGCATACTGCTAGACTTTCTGTTGACACTTTGGTTGACTTTTGGTCTGCATTGGGGGAAGAGACACGGCATTCTCTTCTAAAGATGAAGGAGGAAGATTTTATGGAACGCCTAATGTACAGGTATGTTCTTATTCCTACTAACATCTATTGGCAATTGAAATACATTAGTGGATTAAGTATTTGCTAATAAAATAACATATAAAATAGTGTTTTAACTATACCTTGTATTTATCTATATAATAAATCTTATAACATATAGAATAGTATTCTAACTACACCTTATATTTACATATGACAATTCATTACATTCCTAAAAGCCAACCAAACATGATCATGGAATGTAATGACTCATTCCAGTCTTTCGTCATTCCATTCCATCCAACCAAATAGACCCTAACAGTTTCTTCCATCAACTCTTTTAGTATTTTTTTTTAGTCCCAATTATCCCTAATCTTATGCTACAGGTTTGATAGCAAGAGATTCTGTAGAGATTGCAGAAAGAATGTTATTCGTGAATTCAAAGAGCTAAAAGAATTAAAACGAATGAGAAAAGAACCTCGTTGCACTTCCTTTTTTTGTGTGGCTGATACAAGTTTCCAATACGAGGTCTGTTTGTTTTACCACAAATCACCAAATCTTTTATAACTTTTTTAATAAAATGATTAAAATCCAAATCCAACATGATTTTTGTAACTAAATTGGACAATGCAGGTAACAAGAGACACAATCCGAGCTGATTGGCATCAAACTTATGCTGACTCAGCAGGAACATATCATCACTATGAATGGGCTGTTGGAACTGCAGAAGGAAAATCAGATATATTAGAGTTTGAAAATGTTGGTTTGAATGTAAGGGTTCAAGTCAATGGTCTTGACCTTGAAGGTTTACATGCATGTTATATCACTTTAAGGGCATGGAAAAAAGATGGAAGATATAGTGAGCTTTCGGTCAAAGCTCATGCTTTGAAAGGTCAACAATGTGTGCATTGTAGGCTTGTTGTTGGAGATGGTTTTGTTACAATTACAAGAGGTGAAAGCATTAGGAGGTTCTTTGAACATGCAGAAGAGGCCGAGGAAGAAGAGGTATGAAATATTGAAATCCCATTAAACCCCAAATAAATTATAATAAAATTTATATTTTTTTTCACTATTAAACAAACAAAAAGTTAAAAGAAAGTTATGCCATTGAAGGAATCACATTGCTTCAAGAATAATACAACCCATTCCATCAAGCAAAACAAACAGCTTTTTTTCTCATTCCAATGGAATGGACAATTCCATTCTTTTTGTTGATTCCATCATACGATGATTTCAGGATGATGATTCCATGGACAACGATGGAATTGAGATGGATGGAGAATGTTCCCGACCTCAAAAACACGCGAAAAGCCCCGAACTTGCACGAGAATTTCTATTGGATGCTGCAACTGTTATTTTCAAGGAACAAGTTGAAAAGGCTTTTAGAGAAGGAACTGCACGTCAAAATGCACATAGCATTTTTGTATCTCTTGCACTAAAATTGTTGGAAGAACGTCTTCTTGTCGCATGCAAAGACATCATCACCTTGGAAAAACAGGTAAAACCTTTACCTCCCACCATTGCTCTTATTTGGTTCAATGGAATGGAATCACAAAGGAATGGAATCACAAAGAGTCATTACATTCTGTGATCATGTTTAGTTCGACTGTAGGAATGAAATGAATTAAATCATGAAGTTCTTATAAAAGATTTGTGTCATTAAAAAAATTATAAATAAAAATGTGTCAAATTAACAAAATGAAAGGAATCTCAGACTCCTTTCAAGAATTTTCTATTCCATTCCAAATACATCATTTTAGGAAGCATAATTCATGTATGGTGGATTTTACAACTCTTGTTTGTGTAGTTTAAACTCCTTGAAGAAGAAGAGAAGGAAAAGAGAGATGAAGAAGAAAGAAAGGAGCGAAGAAGGGCAAAAGAAAAGGAAAAGAAACTTCGTAGGAAAGAGAGACTCCGGAATAAGGAATTAGAAAAGGAAAGAGAGAATTGTCAACGGAATCAAGTAATCCCTGTTTCCATTCCCCATGAGGAAGAAGAGGAGCCAACACATGCCAATGACACCATAAATTTGCAATGCAAATCAGAACAAGATTCCGTGTTATCGGAAGATTACATTCCGGAAGAGCAGAATTCAAACCATGATCGGAATCCTGATTCCGACATTCAACATCCTCGGAGGAAATCAAAATTCTGGGATCAATCCTTAAAGTGGTCTGACAGAGGACGATTTCCAGTGGTATCTGAAAATAACAGACTGTTAAGAAACAACAGTCCACGGGTCAACATAAGGTCTAATGGATCATCAAGGTTACATTGTTCTCATAACAAGTCAAATGACAGATATGCCCCTCATGGTTGTAATTGTTACCAAACCGATTACAGACCTAAATCGGAATATGTTCATGATAAAGCCAACAGAAATAAAACCAACAGAGATTCACAATGTGTGAAGAAAACATGGGAACCTATGGAAACACAGAAAAGATACACTTACACCCCTCCTACTTTCAAAACCGACCCTGTGAACCCTGATTTATCAAACGAGAACACAATAAACACCGAAGAGAATGATTTGAAGGAATTGAAAAATACAGAAGTTGATACAACAATTAGCAATTCCAATTCCGATAGTTCATCGTGTCTAAGCGAAGGAGATGGAAATACTTCGGTTTCATCTACCACCCAAAATTTAGAATCCTCGTCTACATCGGATTCAGAAGATGTAATTATAATAAAAGAAACCCCACTAAACACAAAGGAATTACCAAATGAAAAGAACAACGGAATTACAGATTCCATTCCGGTTAGTCAACCTCCATTACAACCTCAAGGAATCCACTTTCCGGTGTTTCAACCTCCTTCCATGGGTTATTACCATCAAAGTCCAGTCCCTTGGGTGCCAATTCCGTTCCCACCGCCACATCCAAACCATTACCTATTCCCGAGTCCAATCGGGTACAATTGGAATGGGAATTCGCAATTCCATCATTATAGTCCTTTGGCTCCACCGTTAGTTAACCACAGTCAACATCCAATGTACCAATCGGTCCCACATGTCAACAAGGTGATTGAAATTGAAACAGCATCTCCTCCCATCAAAGGAGGGCAAAATGGGAATTGTGAGAAAACAATGAAGGGTAATACGGAGTTTTCGCTATTCCATTTTGGTGGGCCGGTGGATCTTTCGAACGGGTCGGTTGAGATTGATTCCGGTGTTGGATTGAAGGGATTGGGAGATGGTTATGCTTGTGGAAAGGATGTTGTTGAAGTTGAAGAGTATAATTTATTTGCAGCGAGTAATGGAATACGGTTTTCGTTCTAATTTGATGTTGGAATGGAATCGTGTAACAAAACCACAAGAACAACTACGGAATCGGAATCGGAATTGGAATTGTGTACTTTGATTGGTTGTATTATCGTTTGATTTTTTTATTTGATGTAAAGGTATAGAGAGAGATTTGCCTGTATGAGGTTTGTTCTTTTCCTATAGCAATGGAGCATTTGCTTAAAATTGATTGTGCATTTCCTTTTTTACAGTTTGTTATTTTAAATTTTAATGTTCGTTATTTTAATCTCTGTTTTTAAGCGGGTGTTATATGAAACTTTTTTTTTTTCATTCATATTTTATGTGCTTATTAACTTATATATAGTACGAAAATTCAGTTTACAAAAAGTTTTATGTAGTTTTTTATTAAAAAATTCAAAGTCTAACCGATTAAATAATAGAACTATATTCTTCCGTTGTACTGATTTTTTATTTTTTATTTTTATAGAATTTGATCGAACACAAAAATGTTTATTTAACAATAGGAGAAGCTATTTTGTGTTTGTGCATTCAAACACTCATATTAATTTATTAGCATTAATTTATTAACGATAATAACCTATAAAACTGTAATAAATTAATAATAAACATATTAAAACTACCATCCCCAGCTAAGTGGGATTAGCTGGGATGACCAACTGACAACTGATTATCTTTTTGGTTATCTTTTTTATGCAGTCAACTTTTAAGACAAAAAACAATAAAATAAATTTGCAAATAAAAAACAAGTAGCACCAAATGATGGTTATGAAATAATAAATAATTTGAACTTTTAAAATTTGCTTAACAATACCTTAGCAACTTTTCATTAGCTGTCCTAAATTAGTTGGAGAGATTTTCAATAAAAATTGTTTTTCTATGACACACTGACACTCATTGTGGTAAAGAATCAAAACAAATTCTAAACCTTATATTCCAATTTCCAATTGTTAATGATAACGGCGAAATATTACATGTCGGTAATTTTCTAATCATTTTCTTTGACGTTTCTTTGAATTTACATTTAACAGATAAGATAGTTACACCGTAAAAACTTGACTAAAAATAAAGAAGGCCAAATAGGTAGAATTCTGTTCGAACTTGCCTAAAGTTTCTTTAAAGTTCATGCAATTACTTAAACTATTTAATTTAAAGAATATATAGTATTAACTTTGATAACATACACTTTGCAATCATATCATGCTAACTCTATCATGTATAAAAAACTACTTATACACCGACATCCCGGAATTTAGGTATAAAACTATAGATTGTCTAGTCACCGCGAACCTCTTTGTAATTTGATATATTGAGTTTTAGTGCATCTTTTGGAAAATAAATAGTTTCATTACAATTAAAATAAGATATGAAATATTATCTTACTTCCATTGATGGAAATCTCAAACGAATCATAAAACACAAATCGTAACCCTATTAATACGTCTGAAAAACTAAAAATTCATATTAAACGGTTATAAGCGAAGCACTCACTCAAGTCTCGCAATACATGTTCACCTAAGTTCGAAAATATAAAGAACGTTCAATACGGAATTCGTATGCAAAAGATACGACTGTTTTAAGAAATTAAACAACTAGGTAATGGCTAAACGCCTGTTAAGTGTCAAATCACGACCTTCGGTTGAGTCATGGGGTGTCTTAGGAAATGAATTTCGATTCCCGATCAATTTTCCTACGAGCCCTGTTTAATTTAGGAAATTATCATGTTCCTAACTTTTTATGCCCGAAAAATACCCTGAGCCGTTATGGATAGGGTTGAGACAACTAAACACCTGTTTTCGCCAAGAAGTTCGCATTCTTCCTTAAGTTTCGCTGTGTGGGGTCAGTTTCGGGTCTCGGAATGAAAAGTTAGTTATATATTACAAATCAGATTTTGATGTAGTATTTGATTTAGGAGCTAACTTTCCCGTCGTACGTCGTCTCGACTCTTTTACGAAAAAAGTGTGTAACTGTAATCGAATAATATCCGGTTATAACTTTCAATCGCTTCGTTAGGATAGCTACGGTTTGAGTTAACGACTATCGTTCGTACCATTAGTCTTAGAATATAATCTATTATTTGAGTTCGTAAATGAAAACGTCGCCACTCGAATTTCACGGAACGCTTGTTTCTTGCTAAGGATAAGGTTGAAAACTAGGCTTTAATTTAGACCGTTGGATGAGATTGGATTCAGACCGTTGGATCGGGATTGCATATCCTATATAAAGAAAAGAGGGTCTCCCTCATTTCTCACAAATTCACCTTTCTCTCATCTCTATCTATCCCACTAATCTCTCTCTCCCTTCGGCTGCCGGAACCGCCATGAGCCACCACCGGATGCCTTCCTTCGTCGAGCCGGAGATCCGAGAACCACCAGAAAACCAGCTGCCGCCTCCCCTTTTTCCGATTTGACCCCCGACGAACACCCTCAAATCGACTTGCTGCCGACAGCAGCCTCCGGTCACCATTAAGCCGCCGACAACCGCCGGTGATTTTTCTGGCCACTTTTCCGATCAGCTTCCAGTCAAGTTCACTATTCCTCTGGTCAAGATTACTATTCATCCAACAACATTTTCCGGCAAAACACTATTCACCGATAATTTTTCTGGTGAACTTTCCAACCAATTTACCGGGGAAACTCTGACAAATTTTTCCGGGAAAACACTATTCACCGACAATTTTTATGGTAAACTTTCCTACCAATTTAACGACAAAAAATATACTTAAAATCTATTATCCTAAATTTTCCCGATTTACGTAAATCCGAAGAAGAACGAAGAACCAATAGTTTCGCTACCTATGTAGCAGAGAAACCCATAATTCTCAGTCGATCGTTCAGTAGTCTCCAAACTTATCTCTCCCTTATCTTCCAAAGATGACAAGGATCCTTCTGAGGACGAACCATCTACAGAACCCACTGAAGGAGAAGAATCTGAAGAAGAGAAAAGAAAGATCAAAGATAAGAAACCAGTTATAGAAAACTAATACCCTCGAGGAACAAAGCTGACAAGTCATCCATGACTCCTCAAGTCCGTTTCTCTTATCGACAAGTCTGTTGATAACACTATACTTCTCCTAATTGAACGGAGTGTTCAAATTAAACCAGCAAATCAAATCCATGATAGGCAACATGGATGTAATAGAATACGTCACTCACACTCTAGGTCAGAGAGTCAGAGAACTCAAGGAAGAACAACATGATGAGAATGGTACTGCTCATACACTATGCCATCATGTCAATTAAACAAAGAAAGTTTGTTACCCAAGGTCAAAAAATCTATACACTAGAGTATAGAGTCCAACTGACCTAGAGCAGATCGAGTATCAAACGATTGCAACAAATCAAAGGATGCATGAAACTCATAACCAGCTCGAGGAGCTAGCCAATCTGCTAATCAAACATTTTAAATCTCTAACAAGGTTACATAGGGTGATTGGTACACTTAGATTAAGGTGAATGATCATGGGAAAAGAGATTATATGCAAACATTTATCCTTTCTATATCTCCCTGTGGACGAAGCTTTTCCATTACTAATCCTGTCCATGTTTGGAAACTGGGTGTAATAAGATGTAACCGAAATACAAGTATTTATTCTATCAAGTTGTTTCAGAGGTCGTTAATATTAACATTTCTCGCTCTACCATTTGAAATCGGTAGGATTTCAGTTCTCGCCCTATCATTTGAAATCGGTAGGATTTCAGTTCTCTCCATATCATTTGAAATCGGTAGGATTTCAGTCATCTCTCTTTCATTTGAAATCAGAAAGATTTCAACTCTCTCTCTCTCTCTCTCTCTCTCTCTCTCTCTCTATATATATATATATATATATATATATATATATATATATATATATATATATATATATATATATATATATATATATATATATATATATATCAATTGGAAATCTATAGGATTTCATAAATCGATCGCTCTCTATAATTTGGAAATCTGTAGAATTTCAGGGACAAGTTACACTAATGCACTATCATACAATACGAATCATATGTGATTATTTATAACTAAGTGGTTACTGATACGTTCCTACCAACAATATTTATGCTTCCATTTTTGATACTTGTACCGATAAGGAGCTTTATTTCCCATAAGTTTAGGAACATGATAAACCATAAATCATACAAACTTGACGAAGCTTACACAATAGAAGTAGCAAACTGCCAGTTAGAAAGCACTTTGGAAATAATCACTAATTACCTTCTCACCCTGAATAACCATGTCTTTCACATCGAACTAATGCCTATAATCTGAAAGACCTAGTATGCTCAAGAGTCATGTTAAAGTGATATTACTAAATAACATATGATACTAATGGGTCACACTAACAACAACTTGATACAATTGATTATTTATTAGAAATTGATTTTAATAAATATTCAATAAAACTCTTATAATTAAATTGGGAATTATTTATTTCATGGAAATAATAAATTCCATTAGCAAGTAACTTAATATACATCATATGGTATGATTTATAAGTCATGTACAAACTTTTGGACTAGTTAGATCCTTTTGTCTTTTTCCTAAAAGACAAGGTTTATATTTTATAAAAGAATTTATAAAAGTTTGACTTTCTTTCTTCTTCTTTATGCAATTTTTGAGATATGCATAAAAAGAATAAGTGTATGACTTGTCTAATCATGCTTTAAAGGCATGAGAGACATGCTTATGACAATGGGGACAAGTTTGCTTAAAGTGCTAAAGACTAATGGTTAATAACTTCACTTTATGTATATAAATAAGAGAGCTTGCACTTGGATTATTGGCTCATTCATTATTTGATGCAAAATCCAAATCCTCTATTCCCTCTCCATTTCTATCTAGTTTTGGTTAGAGAACTTGAATCTTCAAGCCCTCTTTAAGTTCATATTGGTTATGAACTTAAAGCTTAAGAGTTTAAGAGTTTTGGACTAGCATCTACATCAAGTTGAGTCATTGTTGGTGTCTCAAAGGTTCCACATTCTTCATCAACTTCCAAGCCTCCCGAGAGGACCCAAAGAACTACAAAGGTTGTTATTTCTTCACCTCTTTTTTGGTTGGTGTTTTAATCTTTCTGTAATTTGCAAGAAGATCCTTGGTGGGTATAAAATGTTTATGTTATTTCAAAAATTAAATTCTTCAGTTGCCATATTTTTCAAGTTTATGAAACTATTTTTGAACTAAAACCCAACATAATCATTGGAACTCTCGATGTAATCAC